TAAAAATATATAATTTACATTTAAAATTATGTATTACTTTTATTTTTTATATATTTTTTTTTAAAAAAGTACATGCCCTTCTGGACAAAAGCCTATGATGATGGGAAAACCCTGCAGTGCTGTCAGCTCTGAAGTTACGCTCACTGCAAAGCAGACTGATTCACAGATTGTCCCTTCCACCCCCTACCAATCTGGTCCCTTCTACCCCCTAGTCCAACCTCCCTGCTAGCAGGATCACCTAGAGGATGTTGCACAGGATTCAGCCCAAGTGAAGGCAGAATTCAGGCTCAAGCTTACAATCCCAGATGGGCCAGCTGGCCCAGACAAATGAGGTTTCAATGTTGATATCATCTCCACTTCTTTTAGGTCACACGGCTCAGTAGCAAAACAGAAGATAAACCACTCCTTCTTGGTTCATAGCCTCATGTATTAACCATTAGCTCCCTCCTTCTTTAAGTACCTGAAAGGCAATTCCACAAATCCACCAAATATTGTGTAAGCTTCCCCTTCCCACTGTGCTTTCCAATACACGTTGCTTTACCCAGGTAAAGGAAACCTAAGTTCTGTACTAGAACCAGAGGTCTCTAGGTGGTTTATGCATGAACAGTGCTGACATGGGTAGTTCAGGCAGCAGACCTGTAACCTTCTCACATACTTAATATTCTGTGCTGCAACATTTGTGCCAGGCTGGAACATCTCTGCAGAATAAATGGAAGGATTGCTATTATCCCAGTTACATACTTTTAGGTTCTGCATTAAATTATGCTATATTTATCAGTAAAAGATTGTTTTGAACTGTATACAAATTGTCAGTGTCTAACTTAGTAACTTAAATATATTGAATTGCAAAAGGCCTCCTGGATCATTAAATCCAGTCCCTGCTATTTCAGATAACCACATACAATCAGGTCTCTTTAACAAGGATAAACTGAAATATGTTTAGGTAATTTAAGTATTTATGCTTAACAAGCCTGTTGACCATAACCTGCCTTAAGTCATACAAGTGAACCAAGTTAATAATTACAGGAGTTGCGGTTCTCCAAAGTAAATGCTACCTAGATGGAAAAACAGAAGATGCTGATTAAGGGGAAAAAAGACTCACCTGTAATAAAGTTCCTGAAGAAGTGACATATTACTAGAATGCAATGCCTGATCAATTCCCAAGTGATCCAGAATGTAGGCAGGTATGGAGTTGCCCTCTTCTATGACAAGGGCCAAATTAAAGAAACCCTAACAATAAAAAAGCATACGTGCTTTTTAACCACTAAATTTTCATATGTATATTTAAAGTCTACTGTAAGCATCAAGTATCTAAATAATTATAACTGTCTTCTATAAATTCATTCAATATAATGTGGTCTTCACTGAATAATTATGAGAGCCTTTTCTCCTAACTATAGGTAAATACTGAAAATGCAAAAGAATCAGCATTCATTTGTTGTGACACCATCTTGTTAGAAACCACCTCAGCTTTTTTCATTTTAGTTGATCTTTAAACACAGCTACAATATCAAACTGTAAATCTTATCTACTAGGGAAATATAGACTGAAAGCAAAAATAGATTCCTGTTCTGTTACTGTTTAATTCCCCTCCACCTAGCTCTATAGATCAACAGCAATCTGAATAGTGAAATTGAGAGCAGACATTTCCTCCAGACAATTTAAGTCCTTAATCTTACAGTTTTGCCTATTTGTCTTAGGCATCCCTATGTCTCTTCAGAGCCATGAAGATGAACACACACAAGATATATTACAGGATTCCCCATGAGTTTGGCCTTCATACTTTAAAGTAACTGTTCATGCATCTCTTCTTTCCTTTGCTTATTTAGCAGTAACATTTTGTCTCACTATCCTCAAAACAGAACCCAACTATGATACCTCTAATAAATTCACACACGAGATGCTGTCTGGGGACATTGTCACAGGGACAGGGAGAATAGAATACTGCACCTAGGACACTTCAAGAGGGTCTGAGGGTAGGAAACTCAGTGTTGAAACACTGCATGTCTTTGGTAACGTGACATTGTGTATCTTTTAATTATAAAGCATTTTAAACTGCAGCTTTTGTTGGTGGAGTGAACAAAATTCACCCTAGGATTCACTTAGTATACTAAGGGAAATGAGCCAGTCTTCCTGTTTCTATCCTAAAACAGCAGAGGATAGGACTGGAATACAACTCAGCAGGCTATTAATTCTTCCCCTTGCAGTAGCAAAAATACCAAGGCCACGACAGAATCAATTGTGCCAAGGTAGGGTAGTACTGAATTGGGCCATTCACCTTTACCTTTCAAAACAACCTAATTCTAGGACTATCTATGCTAGGTTTACCTTCTATTATCATGAAACAGCAACTACTGACTTACCAAGTATTTTGAAATAACTTATTCTAGCAGGTTTCTTCAGTGCAGATGTAGCCAAGCAGAACAACCAGCCTCAGATAAATCCTCAGATTGCTCTAAACTCTGATGTTTTACAAACACATTGCAACTGCAGACCCACCTGTGAATCTCCCTCTAATGCAGCTTGTGCGTACATCCGCATTGAGAGCTCAAGGTCTTTAGACTGGTTCTGGTAACCATAGTAGTAGAAATCACCCATCTTCAAATAAGCTGTGGAAGAACCCAGTAGCAGATCATTTAAAGTCTTTGTAGAAATAGAAGTAACCAACTATTAATGTGATGGAGAAGTTAAATAGAATTACTATTAAAGCAACATATTAAAAAAATAAAAAGGTACTCTTTCTCTCTGGTTGTCTCTGTAGCTACTTTACATCAGCCTGCCCACTGAAAATATTTATCCAGGATGAAATTTCTCATGTTTTCTCTTTAATGAATTTAATGAATGATATTGATACTTTTACAAAAAACTGAAACTTAGAGACTTTATACTGTATCCCTTCTTCACTTGTTGCATCTGTCTTCTGGCAACCTGTAGCCTTATCATTCAGCTTAGCCCTACTAACTTGATGAGACTGAAAAACATGCTGTCTTAAGTGTTTGTTCTGTACTTGTCACTATGGTGGCTGAAGCCATCCCAAAAGTTACAGAACTTTGCTGATGATAATTTCTTTAGTTTCAAATCCAACCCAGGACAACGGTACGTATAGAATTTTCCTCATCTAGAAGAAAGCAATGCCCAGCAAATATTTTACAAAAATCTTTTTGTGATATTGACAGCAATGAAATGCGCCAACAGAGTGGGCATTGGCCCAGACAGGAGCAAGCATGACATTGCACTACTCTATGCTGAAGAGCTTAAAAACTCCAATGACCATGTCTACACTTATCTGACCTAAGCTTTCCCCAAATGGTTTGAAACACTTCTACATCTTGCCTTGTGTGTCTAGGGCAGCTACCTAGAAATCCCACCTGCCCTTACAGTGGACTATAGCAGAGCTCTTCCAGGAAGCAAGCTGGTCAGTGACCCAACAGCAAAGGCAGAAAGACTACGTGGATGGGCTAGCACAGATGCAGAGTGGAAGGCCACGAACGCTGTAGCATCATCAGGAATACAGTTCCCCTCAACCATACCAGCTGTGCCATTCCAGCCCTGGCCCGGGGAGCACTCCCACAACGGGCAGTGGCCTTGAGGCCGCCCTGTATTGTGCTGATAATGTAGGCCTGGGAATCTCTGCTGCCAGGGTTAGACCCTCCGTCCCAGGCCCTGCACTGGGGCTTTGATCCTCCACTACTGCAGAGAGAGGTCTGAGATAAACCTCCCCTTATGTTACTCATGGGAGGAAGACAGAAAGTAATAAAATCCTTCCCCTGTTGAACCCAGGAAGTCTTCTCTCTTTTACCTATCGGAATCACAGTCTCAACCCATGAGTCTGATCCCCAGAAGCTTCCCTAGTGTAGGATTGTACCAGTGGATCTGCCATAGGGTCAGCCAAACTGCACCTTGTTAAGGCACCTACAAACTCCTCATGAAAGCTAACAGGGTTTGTCAGCTCCTGTGGCTTCAGGCTATATCAATACGGTATTCAGTTTCTGTGCTGCTGTGTACTTAAATGAATAGGTTGAATTATTTTTATACTCCACTTTTACACGTGCTTATTACAAAGCACTTACTTAAACCTTTTTGTGAGGCAATCAGATCAATATTTTCAAATATTGAATAACTCTTTCAAAGGCATCAAAATGACTTACTTAGACACTAAAGTCACATATGTAGTAAAATTTAAGGCTGGAGGAATATAACTTATATACAAATAAACCTCTTTTTTTTCTTTTTCTTTTTTTTTTAAAGAGAATCCTTTAGTTCCCCAAGGTAAGCTGTGCCAGTGTTGATAAACTCTGTACCCTAACAGAAAAACTCATAATAATTAGATAAAGAATCCTTTAGCCTTCATTAGTTTCTCATGACTCAATTATGATATGGAAGTATATTTGCTTTTGGATTTTCTCTTTGATAAACTAAACATCATGAGCTCCTAAAGTCTACTGCTTTTTTTTTTTTTTTTTTTCTTAAACCTTGAGTCAATTGCTCAGGCTCCTAGATATCTAGCCCCTTTTCAGGGCTTACCTTTTTTAGCTTTTAAATTTTATTCAAATTTTATCTACTTTATGCCATAAAAAAGTAAATTCTCAGAAAAATTGTGCTGAAACACAACACTTAAAACACCTTTTTCACCCTCATATTCCTATCAAAACACTAAAAAGGACATGTATGATAAGCAGGGATTACTCTTCCCTTAACTTGCTCACTCACATAGAAGTTGTAACAAACATAGTTTTTGAAATTTAAAAAAAAAAAAGAGGTAAAATTAAAATGCAGAAAGAAGTCCTTACACATACCAAATGATGGTGCATTGACTTGAGAAACAGAGAAATTGTAGTATCTCCAAACACAATCAGTTGCTAGGTATTTCTTTGCTAGGTCCTGGAAAGAAAATAATTGATCCATTCATATCACAGATAAAAGATTAGGATGACATTATTATTAACAAGTGTTCCTTTTAGGATAATGAGTTATGAATACATTTACTTACTGGTCTTTCTTCACAGATGTGTGCTAAATTTGACTGTGACACTTCAATCCCAGTTTCAGCTGCTAAAACGTAATGCAGCAGAGCTTCATGCCTAACGTTAGATAAAATAAATTAGTGGGAAACCTAATAAAAATATAATGCATTTTAGTTACAGTTTAAAAAAAACAACAAACACAGAACCCTAAATAAATTGACAAAATCACCTAAGACCAAAATTTTGGTACAAGGTTTAAAAGCAAGAGGCTGGCAAACCCATGCAACAGCTACCTCTACTGGCAATGCTTGGTGTAACACGCCATGCTGGATCTCAAGAACGTGCAGTGTTTCCTCCCTTGCCCTGAAGCTACACTGGCTCCGGCGGGCAGTTACTCTAAGTACAAGATTGATGATAAAGTTGAATTGATATTAAGCCCATTCATCTATTTAAATGTTTCAGATAAAACATTCTTAAAAGACTCTTACCTCCTCCGCTTAAAAAAAAATCTATAATTAATTTAGCTGTTTATGTATCTGTCAACTGTTCATCTGAGTGCTTCTTTGGTATGCTCTACCCTTTTATTTCTATGACTTGTTTGTCTTGTCTTTTTAGCCTATGGACTCTTTGGAACAGGAATTATTTCTCATTATATTTGAATGTGTGAATAAAATCACAGTCTCAGTCCCTCTATGGACTCTAGGCAACTCACTGACTGTAAAGCAAGTAATAAAAGCTCATTTTACATTTGCAGTATAGTAATTCAGTATTGCAGTACACTGGTACAGCACTGCTCATGATTCCAGATGAGAGCATCTCTTTCATGTTCTCTGTCACTCATCTACTCAATATTATGATGACTTAAGTATTCAATATAAAAGGAAGCCTCTAAAATCATGTGTTTCATTTTAAAATCACAAGATTAAAAAAACACTTGGTGTACTTGTTTTCCAACTAAAGCTTCCTATTAAAGGGTCATGCTCCCAGTGATTTTCTCCACAACACAAAGCTAAAACCATGGCAAGTTTTAGGGTTCAATCATTTAACCGGAAGCAAATACGGTTAAACACGCATTTGACTTCAAGAGTAGATGCTTAAACCAAAGAAAGTTTAAATTAAATTGTGAAAGCAGTTGCCCTTACAGACTTAGCAGGTGTAACCTCCTGTTTCCTGACTGTTTCTGCAAGATTACAAATTCTTCCTCGTACCTGCCTTGTAAAAACATCTGGGACAATGGAGACCTGGCACCACAGAAGGAATTCAGGATATCTAAGCTGGGAAGTTAGTTCTTCTGATCCTTAAGGCTCAAAGGGCAATTCAGAAAAGAAAGTACATTTAAGGTCTTTAAATCAGTCTCTGAAGATCAAACTACCATGACTAACAGGTGCATAGAACACATGGCTGCTAACCCCAGGGACTGAGGAACACATATTACTTGGTCTGCTTGGCAGTGTGACAATTTACACCTGTGCTAGACAGATGAAGAAATATTCAGAAGCAAAAGATTTCAACATGAACATATTCCTAAAGCCGGAGATGACTAGAACCAGTATTTATAAGTAACTACCCATACACTCCCAGCCACTGGCATCTCAAGTGGTACTCCAGCTGTCAAGACCAGACCTTCTGGGATCTTAATGCTCTACCTGTCATGTGCACAGGACTTTCATGTGATTGCACGTAGAGCAAGCAGGGTAGAGTCACAAGCTCGTACATCAGAACATGCTACAAAAATATTAACTGAGCGTTTTCCAGTGTTGAAAAGTGAGGTCAAGTCTCAGGAGAAACGTTTGTGATGGACCGAATAAAAAGAAACAACTTCTAGGAATGGGTTACTCCAGAACAGCCCACTGGCAGTGTCTTGTAGATCTCCTAAGCCTGAAGCACTAATTAAGTACTAGCAGGGGGAGGCTGCAGGACTAAACGAGCCATTGCCTTTATCATGTATGACAGTCTGATGCCTACACATACAGTAGCTAATGCTCATGCCTACAGGTCATGGCAAAAATGGAACATTAACCTGGAGGCTGTATTGAAACCTCTTGCTTGGCTCATTGGATATTGTAGCCTCCTATTACAGCATATTACCTTTACAGAAAAGGTAATATTAACCATATAAAGAACAAATCTAATCCAGTAGCCTGAGTTTTCATGACACACAATTACACAGAAGAGAGAAAGCAAAGCACGGTACTTGGAACAGAGGGAATATTAAAAGTGAAAGGCGCTCCTCTGGCTAACCCAGTGCACATTACATGCTACAGTACTACAGGGTGAAAATCACAGACAGCAGATACAACACTATTTCACTCTACAAACTCTCTCTTTTTCACTTGATTGTATCAGAACTGTTGAATTACGCTTTGGGTCAACTCCTCCTTCCCTTTATGTCAATGGGTGTTTTGCCACTGATTTCAGTGGTGCTGCTATTTGTGTTTTTTTGAGGTGATGGCCCAGCATTAATTATTTTATCAAACTACAAAGAAAGTGAAAAATAGAAAATGAATTTGAAGAGAACAGAACAAACATACCATGAAAGTTCCAGATAAGCATTGAGAGCTTTTCTGATGACATGACCTAAGTAGCCGTTCTTCTCTGCAATGTGTTTTGCCCAGCTGTAGAAAAGAACAAATGAAAAATGAACAGCTGTGCTGCAGTAATGTTATCCCAACTCATACTGACTCAAAGGACACAAAAGGATGTAGGATCACATTCTGACTTCTTCCAGAAGATAAACTATGGGATTTCACAGTAATTGCTGCATCAGTCTTGTAACTGTTGACTGAACGAGAACATTCTGTCCATTCATCTCCATGAGCATATCAGAGACATCCTATGTTTTTTCTTGGCAAAATTACTTTTTTCTTGGTTTTTTTTTTTTAAGAACACAAACATAAGTTAGTAAGTGCTATAACTAATTATCTGCCATTTTCTTGATGCAAAAATACCAGTTCTACCACATCAGAAGCCTGGTATTTCTTGAAAATCAAATAAGCATGGCTTTGTTAGATAGAACCTCTCAGTTATTTAATAGAATCTCTCTGAGTTGTTCCGGAAAAAAATAGTACTAAAAGCACTCAACATCTCTCAAAATCTACCGGTCATTTAAATAATACACATATTCATGTGGATCAAACTTTACTGCATAAGAACCTTTTGTCAAGGAGGTAAGCAACATGAAGTACAAGATATTTAGACTATGGACTTAAAAATCACCAATAATCAAAATAATCCCACCAGAAATATATTCTCCTTTAACAAATGGTTTCATCCCTTACATTACAGCTTTTTCTGGATCTCTAGGGAAGTCTTCCATGTTTCCTGTGATGTAGTACAGAGAGCATCGTAAAGTCCCTTCTATATGCCCTCCTTGGGCAGCTTTATAGAAATAGTGTGCAGCAACTGTCTGTGAAGAAACAAGACACAATTAGCAACTCTGCATTATTAATGTTTATCAAGTTTTGTTTCCCAGGACTCATTTCATTAAATGAATTAAAAGAGGCAATTGCCTAATGAGGGCAAGCCAGTTTAACTACTTTCAATGTACTTAGGTGAAATGAATTCCTTTCTTCTAACTTTTTAATAGTTTAGCCTGGTAAAAGGTTTTTAAAAAACATAAATTCTGGTAATATGTGGAACGTCAAATAGAAAAGCGTCTACATGTGGAACTAACACCTGGTAGCATACGAGTCTTGTGTGCATGGACAAAAATAAAATCCGTTATTCACTAGTAGGGAGATTAAGAAGGGATCCTGGAGAAGAGACACAGAATGGGACCTTTGCACTGGCAATGCCTGAGTGAAGGCTGGGGAGCAGAAGCAACACTCGATATGTCCAGCAGAGCACAACCACAGTGCTTATGCCTCTGAAATTGGGTTATAAAAGGTAACACAGGCCAAGTAGGCAGGGCCACAGCTGCAGCAGTGGAAGGGTTGTGTGACTCTCCAAGTTTTACCCTCAGAAACAGTGATCTGTAATGTAAACCAAAGCAGCATGCAGCCTGAAATAATTTATTTCAGAAAATTTTTAACCATTGATATACGTTTTCTGTGAGTGAGCATGGACTTCAGAGTATCCATCACAGCCATAATAAAGTACCTCTCCTTGCCCATGGCTTTGGTGAATAAAGAAACCTGGGCACTTTTAGGTGTACTCTTATAATCAGTCCACTCTGAAATGCTTATTTTGGTCCCTGGGGAAGGAAAATGTGTTTGCCAAATGCACATGTTGGTGAGCACCGTTGCTGTTGGCAGCAGAAATTCTCGTTGTCTGGAGTATATCCAGATCTCAGAACTCACAGGCCACACTGGAAACATCTTGTGCTCCAAGCACAAGGTCTGCTTGCATTTATTACACCCTACCTTACTACGTTTGTGCTACTTGTCATAAACTACCTAGTTAATTAAAAGAAATATAACCACAGTAGATCCTTCCTATTAAGGGAAAATGAATTTTGCACATGTCAATGAGAAAATTTAATAAATAGGCTGTGTTACAAAAAGACAAACCAAAATACTGCAGTTTACCACCACTGTATTAAATAGTTACATTTGCGAGTCTGGCTTGAACGTCTTTCGCTGCAGTTCTGAGGCTCACAGAAGCTATGTGAATGTACCATAGCTGTTCACGAGTTCATGGACAAGGTTCTGCTGCTTTCACCTATTGTGGAAAGCATCCTTTCCCTATGTACTCTCCAATCTAAAACTGAGAGAAACCAAAAGGATCACACAATGTGAGAGCACACACTATCCTAGCTGCTGTCACTGGAAGCAGGAAAGCAGAGGCTGTCCCTGGAGCTAAACATACACCTGGTTTGCTTCTAAATTAAAGGAACATAAACACACGCATGTAAGTATGACTGAGATACTTGAGTAACATCTCTGTTTCTAAGCAATCTGACTGAATTCCCCAGTAACACCCTTCTTTGTGATAAAAGGTGTCAAAATCTGACTCAGAGTGAACAAAGCAAAAACTTCTAAATCAGGCCCCACCGTAAGAAATAGTACAATTAAATATTTACTCACTTGATTTCTACCAGGTACTCCAGGGTAAATCCCATCTAAATAAAGGACACCAAGGTTGTACGATGCATCTGGATTTCCCAATTCTTCAGCAATTAACCAGTGTTCGGCTGCTTTTCTGTAGTCTCTTTTAAAATTGTGGTAATACCATCCCAATCCATTCACTGCCTGGGGCAACCCCTTAGGGAAGGAGAAGAGCAGTCTCGGGTCACACATTTGATTCTGCTTTGGGTCACTTTGCAATTCCAACCTCCTGCTTGACTTTGGGTGCTCTTGTGACAGCCAAAATTACACTGATCTGGGACTAAGGGATATAAAGGTTTGATGGCTTTTTTCCACACACTATTCTTTCTTGTGGCCTCGTATTGAGAGCAAGGAGTAAGACTCCAGTGTTGTCTTACTCTAGAGAGTCTCACCTGTGTCTGCATTCAGCTGTGCACTTGTTGACAAGAATAAACTGTGACTGTTTTTCACCTGTTTCCTCTGCAAAGCCAAAACAGAGCACCTATTCTTGTGAACTCCCAGAACCTGGCTGACAGGATTAGCAATCAAAAAAACCCCTTTTTTAAAACTAGAACATTTCCCTACGAATAAGTAAGAAGCAATGAACACAGAACTTTGTAATGCTGTTTTCAAAATGTACATGACCAACATCATACAGATCTGCTTAAGATAGCAGTACATGCTGTTACTAATTTGTATCTTTACATCAATAATTATGGATCAAGAGGAGCAGTTTTTAATTTGGTTGCAATGAGTTACCGTCTCTTTGCATAAACTGGTGGATCATATGGTGGTTGTAAGTGTGCCAGCAGTTTCAAATTACTCTGCACCAATAAACATGAACATGCTATTCACTCCTTTGTTTCTAATGTATGTTTAAGAGCAACCATGCCAGAACAGCGACATAAGGTAAAAACTACCTGAAAAATCTCAGTGCACAAATACAAGTTATTCGCTTGCTACTGTTGGCTTCTACACTGCAGTCTCCTTTTGTAATCTCTGCAGAAAGAACTGCACTTACAAAGGCCCTCTGGAAAGGATCCCTTTTCCTTTCAGATTTAAACAGTGTTACTAACTTACCCATTAAAATGCAAAAGCCGTTAAACTTTTCAATAATTGTGGTGTTATTTTTGTATAGAAAATGTACACTGGAGCATAAAAACTGTAAGAATCTGGGTTCAAGGAGAGTAAGGAAATAGCTGTCTCTAGGATGCTTCCTGGAATCTGTTCCTCAGATCCTGAGTCAAGGAAATTTTGATCACACTGTGAAAGCCACTCAGTTTTGTCAAGCCTTTCCCAAACAGGCAGTAGAACAGGGAGTCTCTCACGTTTCAAAGGAATGATAGAACCGGCACAAGTCAGCAGTGGTCAGCACTGAAGTCCTATTGTCATTGTCAGTAATTTAACTAGCTTTGGTTCTAGAGCTAGGAAGGTATTCAAGGTCTAGGTACTCTTATATTTTTATACTAAGGACCAGATCATGGCCTGGGTAATCTGACTGTACTAGATCATTAAATGGAGTGAGGTTCCTCTTCTCTGCGGTGCCTGTCAATGTTTCCCCCTGGTATGGAAAAAACAGAAGGCTTTGGGAAAAAACAGAAGGCTTTGGGACATCCAGGTCTTCTCCCTGCAGTAGAGAAGAGCTGGCCAGAGAGAGTACATACAGTGTTCTTCCAGTCACCAACACCCCTGGCAGAGTTCTAACTCTAAGCGGACAAAACTAGCCATAAACCACCACAGCTCAGGGGTGGTGGGACCACTCTTCT